GTTTCTTCTGAAGGAGAACATAACCCTTTTTAACTAAAATGAAAGGCACAAAGTGGAACAAATTGTTTTTAAGACTTTTTGAGTTTTCTTGTGCTTTTTCCATTATCATTTTTATAGCTGAGATTTCTGTAAGGATTCACAGTGAGTCATTTTATGAGGCAGCTCTGTACTAAAGAGTTTCCCATCACTCTAGACATTACGTATCTCCTTATGGCAGCTCGGACAATATAGGGAGATTGCCAACCCAGGTCACATGCCAGTAGGCCATCGCTCATTTGAAAGGGGCAGGCAAGATCTGGTTACAATTAGGTTCAACCCCTGGTTCTGGATTACACATCCCTATGGCTATAGATTCTTTACTGCCCACTCCCCGCTGGGCTCAGGGGGAGTCCTAGGATGGTATGTGTCTGTCCAGAGAAAAGGGTCCTGGCCTTTTTCTTTCTCTCTGTCCTTTCCCCTCTCTCCTTTTAACAGAACAGTATGTTTTCATGTCACGCTGACAATGAATACAGCTGTTGCCCATGAGGTTTCCTAGAAATATAGTTAAACCCCAAAATGTAAAAGCCTTAGCACTTCAAAGAAAAACAATGTCACGTAAAGTACACCAATTTACAGTGCTAATGGTACCACCTGAGTGCAGTGGATAGGTGTTCCAGGAGCTGCCCGGTGGGTAGGAATTAGGAAGACCATTTGTAGAGCAATTGGGATGACTGTGTTAAGCTAAGGACTCCAGTTTTCTCCCTACAGGGAGTTTCAAGTGCTTTCAAATCCAATGCTCACCCCTCCTACTCCAAAATAATGTTCAGTTAAAAAAAAAGGATTGGGCTATTATAGTTTCCAACTCATGTCATGTAAGGGTTTATTTTTTCCAGATGAAACAGACACTTTGAGCTAAGATTTGGTTATCAGAATATGTGTGTCGGCTCAAAAATCCCAGTTTATATATTTATAACAAAACTTCTTCCTTTACTTATTCTACCTGCCAAGACCTGAGTTCAGTGTTTCTCCAGCTGCCCTTGACAATGTCACTAACACCTAATGCAGCATAAGGAATGTAGCTCCCTGCCACGCTTAGGTGTTAGTGGTATCGCTGGCTGTTGCAGCAGAAGCATAGAACACCAAGAAATTTGTGTCAGGTCCAACCAGGGATGCCTCTGAATGTGAACCTCTCCTTAAGCAGATATGTATGATGCAGGCCAGCCTCTTCTCTGACCAGGACACGCTAAGTGCAACATTGTTGGAGCTGATATGCCTTCAAGGAGTGCAAGTCAGAGCAGAGTTTAGCTTTTTTCATGTTGAAGTCTAATCTTTCTGTGTCTTGTCGGCTTCCACGGTGCAGTGGTTGATGCCCATAAAGACTACATAAGCAATTCTGATAACTGAGCTCCCATCTTCTAGGTCATTGGAGGCGTTTCTCCATGTTCATGAAGCCAGATACCATGAGACTCACTGCAAAGACTATAGTAATTGGGAAGGATCAGCGTCTAATCAGATTGGGTTTAAATTACTCACTACCTAGGAGTAAACCCCATTCATCTGACCAGTAAGGCAAGCAGAAATGATATTTGCTCAATGACAAATCAGCATTTCAAATTACTTTTCTAGAACAATCGTTTCCATGGAGAAGATTCTCTTCGAAATTATGGTTGTGACAGCAGTGGTGACAGTAAAAGCAACAACACCAACTTCGTAAACTTGGCTGCAACCACGCCTCTCTCTACAGAGACATTCATGTTCATACAGGGTTCTGTGTAATGGCTCTTATTTGGATTTCATGTTTGCTTACAAATCATAATGCCCTTCCGATGACTAGGTCAGGTATTAGGAATGGAAGTAAAAGTGTCTTCACTGCAGTGTCAGGAATATGTATTATTGTTGAAATGATGTAATAAAACTGTGTGATATCTACTCCAGGATGTGTAAATATTATTGAAACTTCTTCACTCAAGCTTCTCTATTTTATATGCTTTATAAAACAAGACCTGCTTAAAGATTTGTAAGGATACATGTAGATGGAAGGGAGCATGGCAGAAATGTGCTTATTCTTTCAATGCCATGGTGGGAGAGGGGAGAACAGATGGAGAATCACTGCTGTTGTCCTATTGCTAGATGGCAGTAGGGCCAGCCCGTGGGTTGTCAAAGCATCAGGACGCCCCATGTCCTGTGTTGCTTAGCAGAAGGGTTAGCCTGGATGTAAGGAGAAGGCAAGAAACTATTTCCCTGACAACTCAACACTGCTATGGAATGTAAATCTGGGGGAACGTCAAAAGGTTTGGAGTTTCCATTCAAAATAGTGCCCACATACAGACACTTAACCAAATGTATCTCTATTGCTTGGATCTGGAATTTGGACTAGTCTTGGGCAAAGCAGCTCTCACGCTGTCATAATCTCAAAGTCATGTTAACTCATGCTGTGGGCTGCTGAGCCTGCCACATGGCATCCACACTGAGTCTCACTCTCACTCACCTGGCCTGGCCAACAGGACCAGAAAGCAGGTCACCCCAATACACAAAGCATTGTGTGACGAATGACACTGACTTCTGTTGCCAGTGACAGATTTAGATGTGGGCTGAAATACGCAGCAAATTAAGGCTTTTGACACATCAGAATACTGCAGCCAGAACTCTAGCTGCTGCTCTACATGTACCTGACGGCACTTGAACAAAAGGTTCCCTCCTCAGAACTGAAAGGGCCAGCAGATGAACCTCCCTCCCTCTGTGCTTGGCAGTGCAGAGCTGACCCTGTGCAGGGGACGTGTGACCCAGGAGCCCCCCAAAGTTTTCTCATTGCTGGGGGAACAGAATTGGAGGAAGGGTTCATTGGGTTAAAAATGCCCTCCCTTGCCACAAAAGAAAAAGAAGGTAGAGCAAAAGAAAAGAGTGCGTAAATCTATTCTAGAAGAAGGCATGAGGAACCTTGAGCAGAGGAGACACGGTCAGAAGAGATGGGGGTACAGCAGAATGGAGATCCCCAAAAGAAAGAAAAGGGAGAGACAGGTGAAGAGAGGGCAATAAAAGGCAGAGATCGATGAGACAGATGAAAGGAAAAGAAAAAATAGAAGGCAGAATAATGAAAAAGGGAGAAACAAATGGAAGTGGGGAAGTGGGGAAGCAAGGAAAGCCACATGCAATGAAATAAAGTGAAAAAGACACACTTTGTATTTAAAAATGAGTAGTCCTATGGCACCATAGAGACCAACAAAAATATAATGGATCATGAGCTTTCATGGGCAAAACTCACTTCAACACATCATCTGAAGAAGTGGGTTTTGCCCACGAAAGCTCGTGATCCAATATATTTTTTTGTTGGGCTCTACGGTGCCACAGGACTACTCGTTGTTTTTAAAGTTACAAACTGACACGACTATCCCTTAAGACTTTGCATTTAGTCATGTTCCAGTCTGCTAGCTGGCACTTTCAGAGTGGCTCGCAAGGACTGGTTCTGTTCCTATTCATGATGTGTTTTGAAGTAGCACTGGGAAACCTCAGTCCTGGCCCTAGGCACCATTGTGCTAGGTGCTGCACAAACACAGAACAAAAACAATCCCTGCCCCTGAAGAGTTACCCTCCAGTATCTATTATATTCCATCTCTCTGTTCTTTTTGGGGGAGGGAGGGAGGAGGAGGAGAGAAGAACGTTTTGCACACAGATCCTCAGAGCCTGGTCTTCTCAGGAGTGTGAGGATGGCAGCAGACAGAGCCTTACCAGATAGGGGGTATGGTGACTATGTCAGCAGGCAGCCTGCCTCTCTCTGCCTGTAGCAGGGCACAGCACAGTAGCAGCAGAAAGGCCATTGGTTTCTACTTTCTGGGGCAGGTGAATACAAGAGGTGGAAGGGCCACTGAATTTACAGTAACAGGGACCCCTGTCGGAATGTTTGGACTTGATTGATTGATTGAAAGACCGGCAGTGTCTGGATCAGAATTCATTTCATTTCTTCAGGTTAGGCTTGATCAGCAGTCTGGCTGGGGCTCTTACAGAAGCAGTTGCCTCCAAGTCAATTGCAGTATATTTGTCCATGAAATCTTTTCCCCTCCACTGAATTCCCCTCTTCTCCTAGTAGTTCAAGCAGCAGTTCTGAGGGGCTGCTGTTTTTTCTTGCCTTCCCCGTCCCCGCAAATCCCAAAAATACAGGAGCTTGAGGCACATTGCAGCTGAGCACATGTGACCCAGCTCTTATTTTATCCAAATCAGCTCATTCACCCTTAACATTGACGCCCCATTGAAGAACTAAACCTTTCTATGTCATGTACTTAAAATGAACATGGGAAGAGAGGCCACTTCTATGCACAGGACCAAGACACTGAACTTCAAACTAAACTTTGTCAAGTCCCAATCTGTGGCAACTCCAAGTAACAAACATTTCTGCTCCCTCATTTTAACCCTCGTCCTGTCTGCCACTGCTGCATTCTGCATATGCTCAAGTGTTGAAAGATTCCAATTAACCCAAATGGCCATGTAAACACGGGTATAAAGAACACATTTACCAATTCCTCTTGTCTAAGCGTACTGGGTGCTCCTGACTCTTGACTTCTATGAGAATTTAAGAGGTGTTGCCTGTCATTTTTTTAACAATCAGCGCAGCGCTTTCAAAAGCACTGGGCCTGGGGAGGGGAAAATGGGGGACTGAATATAGTGAGAGAGCAAGAACTCTGACATTGGGGGCATCTGCAGTATGTGATTTTTAAAATAAATATGCAGTGATTGCACTATAAATAGGGCAGCATCAGGAGATAGTAATACCCAGGGCCACAATCCCATGAACGAGGCAACATTCATTAAGCTTTCTCTTCTCTGTTCTTTCTCCAGTTACATATGCATATAAAAGAACACTCATATCTTACCAGCCACTAGAGGGGGCCATGAAAAACAAATGGGAGCGTTTCTGAAGGCTTAACTCTCATTAATATTGTTGTTATTTATTATTAAAAGCCAGGCGGTGAGAAGAAGCAGCAGCAGGGTGATTATTGCTATGTACATAGAGATCTTTCAGCATTTAATATAAAATATTCCCTCATGTCACACCAATAATCACCCTTTCAAAATGGTGCCGCAGAGAGTCGTATATATGGTGTGCTGAGTATAAATCTTTTGATTCCCTGTTGTAATGTGCAAAGCTCTGCCTCTCACATGAAGGCAGCAGCAGCGGCTGTGGCAGCTGAAAAGCACATGTTGTGCCTTCCCCGCTCCTCGTTTTCCCCCCCCCTTCAGGTTTTTTTCAAAGTCTCTCTTGATAAATGTCTTCAGAAAAATATTTTATGAGGTGCTTACCTATAAAAATATATCTTTCAGGGCCGTGTACACAATGTGGCCTTAAACACTAACCACACACAAGAAACAGTGTTCATTTAGGCCAGAATGTAGATCGGAGGAAATCGAAAACAATCAGTGCTCAGTTAGAACCAACATGGAACCTATTAGCAATCTGTTGTGATTTGATGTTATTCACCTGCTACTGGGATGGAAAGAATCTCTTTAATGAAGGGTGTCCTTTTGTGAAAATGGCTATTTTCACCTCAACGTATTAAGACTCAGGACATGAACAATGTCTGTCCTGAGGATGTAGATGGGGAAAGGGAGGCTTTGTGGTTAAGGCTGGGACTGGGACTCTGGTGATCTAGGTGTGAGTCCTGCCACAGACATCCTGCACGACCTTGGCAAGTCACTTAAACTCTCTTTGCTTCAGTTCCCCATTAATGAGCCTTCCTTCTGACCTCCTCCCCCATTCTCTGTCTTTTCTATATGGATTATGTGTTTCTCCACCTTTTTTCTTAATAACATACCCCTTTTTAAAAAAAAAAATTATAAGTACCTCCAGTACCTACAGTTTTCAGACACACACAATTTTTTTCTACCATTGCAACGTATTTGTTTAAACAACTTAATCATAGCCAGGTGGGCAATGACATTTTTGGGTGTGAAAAGTACAAAAATAATAAAGCGCTGTAAAACTTAAAACAAAAATTCAGTTTTCTCCAAATTTCAGTTGTGTTGACATACCCCCCAAACTTCTCTCAAGTGCCCTTAAGGGTACTCATATCATGGGTTGAGAAACACTGGATTATGAGAGCTATAGGGCAGAGATTTTCTTCTTACCACATGTTTGGACAGGGTCTTACACAATGTGATCCCAGTCTCGACTGGAACCTCGAGGCCTACCAGAAGACTGAGGCTAATGCTAACACTGCTACTAATAAAAATAATGTGATGAGGATGATTTAATGTGGAGGAATAATGCCCTCACAGAGACATGCTGGAATCTGTTAGAGGGTCCATTTTTTAAAACAGGGCCTGCATGACAGTAAAGGAGTGTTAGGTGCCGACTTTCCATGTGTTTCCTATTAGCATTTGTGAATGATACACCTCTGGAGTAGAAGGTGGTCCCTTACATAGTATTCATCAACTGATCAACTGTACAAATAGGGAGAGGAAGTGAAGAACTTGTTATCCAACTGAAACTGCAAGCGAATGTTAGGTCCTATAAGCAGAATGCAGTTAGCCAAATGAAACGGAGTCGGATCAATGTCAGGGTTTATTCCTCTTCTCTTGGGTGGGAGGAATGTAATGGGAACTTTAATGGCCTGAAGTAGTGAGTCTAGCTTGTTAAAGACAACACTTCCACCGATGCCACTTTGCTTCACAATGCCTTGCAGGGGCTTTGGTTCATGAATGACGTGCAGAGAACTCTGCCCATAGTTTGCTGCAATGTCAAGCATTGCACAATTTTTGCTTTTTTATTTCCATTTCAGCAATAGGTGGCATTCAAGTACTTTCTGGTCGTTTCTCTGTGACCTGCATATTGTACACAAGTGGACATGCGTGTTTGCATATGAGCTCAACTATCAAAGAAATGTTT